CCAGAAAAACAAGTTCAAGACATCATGGAAGCACCCCCGGTCAAAGCATTGGCACCTCTTAGACTATGTAATCACACGTGCCAGAGACAGCCGTGATGTGCTACTCACAAGAGCCATGACAGGTGCTGACAACTGCTGGACAGACCAAAGGCTAATCCGATTCATGATGGCTATCAAGATCGCCCCCAAGCGCAGACTCCAAGGAAGGAAGACAAGGCGCAAAATGAACACCCAAGCCCTTCAGGAGCCCTCCAGACGAGCCCATCTCCAAACAGCACTCAAGGACCATCTACCCACAGTACACCCCGAAAATGTCGAGGAACATTGGAACAAACTGAAGACCTCCATCATCCAAGCCTGCGAAGAAACTATTGGATACCAAGCCAAGAAACATCAAGACTGGTTTGATGAAAATGACATCGAGATCCAACAGCTAATTGACAAGAAAAGGAAAGCCTTCCAAGCATGGCAGAGAGACATCAACTGTGCTGCTAAGAAAAAGATCTATGCCAGTGCAAAAGCTGAGGTCCAAAGAAGGACAAGAGAACTCAAGAACATCTGGTGGACAAAGAAGGCTGAAGAAATCCAACACCTGGCAGATACCCATGATGCTCAGGGATTCTTCAAAGCCACAAAGGTCATCTATGGGCCAAGAAACCATGGGATACAGCCTCTACGCTCATCAGATGGAACCAAACTCCTGAAGGACCAAAACTCAATTGCACTACGTTGGAAAGAACACTACCAAAGCCTCCTGAACCGCAGCTCCAATGTGGCCGAAGAGGTCCTCTCACAAATCCCGCAACAACAAACCAGGGACGAGCTTGCAGCACTGCCTAGTTTGGAAGAAGTCAGCAATGCCATCAGCCAACAGAAGAATAACAAAGCCAGTGGACCAGATGGGATCCCTGCTGAAATCTTTAAAGAGGGAGGACCTGAGCTGACACACCAACTCCACCAGCTCATAGAAAAAGTGTGGGTGACCGAGAAAATCCCAGCAGATTTCAAGGACGCCACCATCATCACCCTCTTCAAAAAAGGGGAAAGAACAGACTGCGGAAACTATCGAGGTATCTCCCTTCTAACCTCCGCTGGGAAAATCCTCGCAAGAATCCTTGCAAACCGCCTTCTGCCCCTCTCAGAAGACACCCTCCCAGAATCCCAGAACGGCTTCCGCCCCTCCAGAGGAACCGTGGACATGATCTTCACTGCAAGACAGCTCCAAGAAAAATGCAGAGAACAAAACCAACCTCTGTACATGGCATTCATCGACCTTGCAAAGGCATTCGACACAGTGAATCGCAGCGCTCTCTGGACCATCCTCCACAAAATCGGGTGCCCAAACAAATTTGTGAACATCCTGCGGCTCCTCCACGATGACATGATGGCAACAGTCTTGGACAGCAGTGGCTCCCAAAGTGACCCATTTAAGGTGGAATCAGGTGTCAAACAGGGATGTGTTATTGCCCCAACTTATTCTCCATCTTCATCGCTATGATACTTCACCTTGTTGATGGGAAGCTTCCCACCGGAGTGAAAATCATCTATCGGACAGATGGCAAGCTATTTAACCTCAGCAGACTGAAAGCCAAAACAAAGGTTATAACAACATCTGTTATAGAACTCCAGTATGCTGATGACAATGTCATCTGTGCGCATTCAGAAGAAGATCTACAAGCCACTCTAAACACCTTCGCAGAAGCATATGAGAAGCTCGGCCTGTCATTGAACATTGAGAAAACCAAGGTGCTGTTCCAGCAGTCACCAGCCAATCCCTCTCCAATGCCAGAGATACAGCTTAATGGTGTAACATTAGAAAATGTGGACCATTTCCGCTACCTTGGCAGCCACCTCTCTACCAAAGTCAACATCGACGCCGAAATACAACACCGCCTGAGCTCTGCAAGTGCAGCATTTTCCAGAATGAAGCAGAGAGTGTTTGAGGACCGGGTCATCCGTAGGGATACCAAGGTGCTTGTCTATAAAGCTATTGTCCTCCCAACCCTGCTCTATGCCTGTGAGACGTGGACTGTCTACAGACGTCACATGCAGCTCCTGGAACGATTTCCATCAGCGCTGCCTCCGGAAAATCCTGCAAATCTCCTGGGAAGACAAGCGGACAAAAGTCAGTGTGCTGGAAGAAGCAAAGACCACCAGCATTGAAGCGATGGTCCTCCAACATCAACTCCGCTGGGCCGGCCACGTTGTCCGGATGCCTGACCACCGTCTCCCAAAGCAGTTGCTCTACTCCGAACTTAAGAACGGAAAACGGAACGTTGGTGGACAGGAAAAGAGATTTAAAGATGGGCTCAAAGCCAACCTTAAAAACTCTGGCATAGACACTGAGAACTGGGAAGCGCTGGCCCTTGAGCGCTCCAGCTGGAGGACAGCTGTGACTAGCAGTGCTGCAGAATTTGAGGAGGCACGAGTGGAGGGTGAAAGAGAGAAACGTGCCAGGAGGAAGGCGCGTCAAGCCAACCCCGACCGGGACCGCCTTCCACCTGGAAACCAATGCCCTCACTGCGGAAGAAGATGCAGAGCAAGAATAGGGCTCCACAGCCACATACGGACCCACAAGGAAACCCATAATGGAAGACCATCTTACTCGTCCAACGAGGGATCGCCTAAGCAAGCAAGCAGTTTGCCTTAGCCTGAGTCTACTGAGAAGGGCAAGATTATACCCCCTCCTCTGCCCTCTTCTCAGTTGAGTACAACCTATTTTGTAAAAAAGTTTGCAGCAATTGAGGAAACCTGAGGAAAGAAGGGGAAAAGTGGGTGGTCAAGAGAGAAACTGGGACATTATAAAAACTACTGAAAAGTGGGATTACAGTATTCATTTGGACTGTCCTTGCCAAATTGAGATACTTGGAGGGCATCCTGTAGCCCTATTGGAACTCTCAAACTTTTAACTCTTTCTCACCTGTACAAACATGTATATGACTGCTGGAATCCTATTGCTCTGCTTTTCTTGTTTTGAGATGTGTGCATTGATGAGGTAAAGCAGTGAAAACTAATTTTCTAAGCCATACAGCCCAGAGACAGAAGTATTTCCTTATTGAAAATTATGTTCTCAACTCACTTCAAAAAAGTCACTAGGTGAACCATTGCTGAAACATCATAGAATGCATTACTAGTATAAACTGAAAGCTGTCCTTTAAACAAAGTGTTTTAAACTAAGAATGATCTGGGATCCAGTCATGCATGACTATTAGATATGGCAGCAAAATAGAATCAACATTGAATGATTAGTTATCAAACTATACTCTATCCACAAGGAACTCAAAACACACGGATGGTCATTTTTCATGAAAATAAAGAAAAAAACTTAGGATATGAAGTCTCAAACAATTCTTAAGGTTTCAAGCTCAATTAAACTGATCTGGTTCTGTCTCTATCATTCCATGAGTAAAGCACCATTCATTAATGTTTAGATTTTAAAAAAAGTATCTCCAGGCAAAGTTTCAGTATTTGCGAGAAGCAGGCGCTTCATCTGTTTTTTAAACATTTAAAGCAACTCCTTAGGCTATAAAAACAAAAAAAAAAGTCTAATGTAATATGATCAATTGCTCTTTCTTTGATAACTTCAGCATGTTATACATTAATCTTTTCTCTTGGCAAAATATACCTAGTTCCTCTAGCCCAGGTATGGGCAAACCCAGACCCCGGGGGGGGGGGGATGGGTTGGATGCAGCTCCTTGGGCTCTTTTCTCAGGCCCTCCTCTCTCACCATCCTATCCTTCCTCCCTTCTCTCTTACCTTCCTCCTTCCCTCCCTTTATTCTCTCCCTCCTTCCCTTCCACCCTTTCCTCCCTCCTTCCCTCTTTTTTGCTTCCTTCCTTCCTTTTTGTCTTTCCTTCCTTTTCTTTTTCCTCCTTTGCTCCCTTCCTTCCATCCTTCTCTTCCTTCCTTTCTTCTCTTTTTCCTTGCTCCTGGGAGAAGCTGGGAGAAGAGAATTTAGAAAGGGAACATGAGAACCATGTTTCAAGATTTAAAAGCATTGAGGACGAGGGAGGGAAAACTGATTTTCTGCTGCTCTAGAGACCATGGCACAAGGGAGCAATGGTTTCAAATGGCACAGAAAGAGATTTGACTGAAAAGATTAGGAAGAACTTCCAGAGAGTAAGAGCTGTTGGAGAATGGCATAGGTTGCCTCAGAGTGTGATAAGTCTCCTTCTCTGGAGGCTTTATGGCTGAGAAGGTCTATTGGGAGTGCTTTGATAGTTTGATTCTTGCATGGCAGGGAGTTGGACTGGTTGGCCCTTGGGGGGTCTCTTCCAGTTCTAGGATTCTATATCAGGAGTGGGCAATATGGGGTCTAATGGATATACATTTTCTCTCCCATCCACCATTTCATCCTGTCCAAGACCAAGGTCAACCCTTTTGGCATTCAGACGTTTCCTGTCTTTCCTTCACTTTCTGACTCTGAAAGAAAAGATGAAGGGTAGGAAAGGGCAGAGAGGGGAATTGGGGAGAACTGCCTCCCTCCCAGCTCACTCACCCGGCTCTGGCCTGCCATGGGGCCCCCAACTTAGAAAGTTTGCCCATGCCTGCTCTAGCCCATATTCAAAGGAATAGATATAATTGCATCATTTTAACTGAATTCGGCCAGCCAAACAGGAATTAAAAATAAATAATAATTAAAAAGTGGGTAGAGGTATCAGGGGTTGAGTGCAGGAAGGTTAGTATTTTAATTACTGACCCCCCCCCCCCCAATGTACTAACATAGCTACATGGGGGAAAATCAGTAATTAAAATACTAACCTTCCTGCACTCAACCCCTGGTACCTCTACCCACTTTTTTTTTTTAAAAAAATCCTCTTTCTTTCTTTCTCCTGCCCCAATTCCTATATTCTTTTAAAATATACGCCGTGCTGACGATTAACAACCTCTCAGATGTACCCTTTAAAACCCTTAATAAAAATTATTTTTTAAAAAATGAATCTTATTTATTACTGTTACCATTAAGAGCAAATGGTAGATATGAATAAGAAGTCTCAAACTTTAGGAAAAACAAATATACAAAATTTTATTAAAGAAAACTGGTCAAACTTGACAATAGTTTTGGTCATTTTGTACGCATCCAGGAATTACATTGATTTTTATTTTGTACTTACAAAACATGTTCACATACAGTACATAGTCTTTTATAGCAGCTAGAGTTTTAAATGCCATGCAAGTAAAACAGAACTTCATACATTCATTATAAACCTGCGTTTAAATCCATGCCAAAAAAATTAAACCCAGGACAGTTAAGATAGATACATCAAAACATAACAAAGGAGATATTCGTACGTAAGGATCACAAATATTACACAAGTTAAAAACATTTTGGCATTAAATTGTCTGTGGCATTTATTATTTTTAAAGCATCGGTCAATATCAAAATAAAATATACACTCTGTTTTACAACATTGTATAAGTATAAAGGTACTTGTACACACATAAATATACACACAATAGTAATATAACCAGTGATGATTTAGAAAAGCAACCAAGTTCTCATGCCAGCTCATAGTATTAAGCCGGAATGCAACGTGTTATTTTGAGTTTCAACAATACTAAGTTGGGTTTCAGTGCTAAACTGAAATTCAGTCTCACCATACTGTCTGTATAGAATAATGATGCTTTCCTAAACAGCTCGATGTCTTTTTTCAACAGAGGTCTTGAGACGATGCTGGAATTGTCCGTGGCTTCATGTGAGTGGTTTGTTTTATGTTTGGAAATTGCTTTCTGGACATTGCTTCGATCGAGAATAATCTTCATGTTCAGCCTCAACTGTAGCAGATCACATCTTCCAATATGTCTCAATGTTTAGCTACAAGCCGAGAAGTGCTTTGATGCTCAATTGCTTCAACACCATTTGTTCAAGCTTGCTTCTAGTGCATAATCAAAGTGGAAAATATTTCTGCCTGCTCACAATGGTTTATCAATAACAGTGACACCTAAAGAAAAACGGGAGAGATAGGAGTAAACCCGAACTCTTGCTTAATGAAACATTTGTATACCTTTTTCATAATATTAATGAGCATTACTGCTTAGAGTACACAAACTATATCAACTTGTTTTATAGCAATTCTATCAGGCACTGTGAAATATCTCCATATTAAAGAAAGGAAGCTGAAAAGGAATATACTGAAGTCAATTCTACAACTATGAACTGATGGTTGAACATGCCAAATGCTAAGATAGAAATCTGAGAATTGAACGGTACTGCTAGATTTCAGCAAAATATGGGAACTGGCCATCTTACACTATACAATCATTCCACCTCAATGGATTGTCATCTTATTGTGGTGAGGGGGCTTGTGTGTTCCAGTGAACCTGTGGGCCATCTGAGTCATTGGCTCCCAGGGGTTCTCCCTGAGCAACAAAGCCACAGGGGAGGTACCAGATCAAGTACAATCAAGTCCTCAATGGCAAAACAGGTGGATGATAGCATGATGTTACAATGGCTGTGAAGGTGGAAGAAAGCTGCAACAGATGAAAAGTCACTGGTTGTCGGGTGAACTGGATGCGAACCTCATTCTGTGAAGACTGTGTTGATTAGTTGAGCACTGATCCCAAACATAAAATAAGTTTATGCACAGTCATCTTCCAAGAGAAAACAAAACCAACAAAAGTCCCATGGCAATCAGTGAGTGGTGACATAGGTAGGATTGTGAAATCAGGAAGCCCCTAGCCACAGACTGGCACGTGAGTGGTGGATATGGATTCACTCATTCTACCTCAAGGTCCAAGGCAGTTGAGTAGTTCAACAGCTGTATCCACCACTGAGCCGCCCCATTAGGAACCACTCTGCTCACCCCATATAGGAGGGGCCTAGAAAAGGTGCCCCAAACATTCTCTCTTATCCATGACTGGACTACCATGTCCAGAGGGATCACTACCTTGCAGTCAAACAAGAAAAATAAACTTTGGAAAGTGGACATTCAGACTCTGTGGATAACACAGACAATAATGCCCTGAATACAGGACTGCAATTATTGCAAGGTAGCGGAAATGCTTTAACATCAATATAGCAGCACTTCAAGAGACCCAGAGAGCAGGAGAGGGATAGCTGAAGGAAGAAAAAGGAGACTACACCTTCTTCTGGAAGGGACTGCCAGAACAAAAACGGAGAATATACTGAGTCGGCTTTGCTATCAGAAACGACCAGGCGAAGCATCTGTCTGAAGGATCCATCAGCATCAAGAAACAACTCTCAACCCTCCAAATTAACCTTGCCAAAAATCAGCAGGCAACTATCACAAGTGCCTATGCACCAACATTCGATGGTGACAAAGACATCAAGGACAAATGTTTACTGTCAGCTGGACACCATCCAATTGGAGACACCTAAGGAGGAAAAAAATCATTCTCCTGGCTGATTTTAATACAAGAGTTGGATAAGATTTTGACCAGTGGCCAGGGACTATAGGAAAAGATGGGGTTGGTAACAGCAACCTGAATGGCATTTCACCATATTTGTGGAACACAACCTAGTGTCACCAACATGCTCTTCCGCCAGAAAAAATAAGTTTAAGACATTATGGAAGCATCCTCAGTCAAAGCACAGGTTAATTCGATCCACGATGGGACTCAAGATTGCCCCAAACGCAGACTCCAAGGAAGAAAGATAAGATGTAAAATGAGCACCCAAAATCTTCAAGAGCCCTCTAAATGAACCCTTCTCCAAACAACACTCAAGGATCATCTAACCATAGAACACCCTGAAAATGTTGAACATTGGAATAAACTGAAGACCTCTATCATTACAGTCTGTGAAGAAACCATTGGATACCAAATAAGGAACACCAAGACTACTTCGATGAAAATTATAACAAAATCCAACAATTAATTGATTGAAGGAAAGCCCTAGCAGCTGTGCTGCTAAGAAAATGATCTATGCATTTCTGCTACCTTGGCAGCCACATCTCCACAAAAGTCAGCATTGACACTGAAATACAACACTGTCTCAGTTCTGCAAGTGCAGCATTTTTCCAAATGAAGCAGAGAATGTTTGAGGATTGGAACATTTGTAGGGATACCAAGATGCCCTGTTATACACCTGGGAAACATGGACCGTCTACAGACATCACACCCAACTTCTGAAATGATTCCATCAGCGTTGCCTCCGAAAAATCCTGCAAATCTCTTGGGAAGACAGGCGGACAACTACCAGTGTTCTGGAAGAAGCAAAGACCACCTGCACTGAAGCAATTATCCTCCATCATCAACTTCACTGGAGTGGACACATTGTCAGAATGCCTGACCACCGTCTCTCAAAGCAGTTACTCTACTTTCAACTCAAGAATGGAAAAGGGAATATTTATATTTAACAGGAAAGGAAATGTAAAGATGGGCTTAAAGCTCACCTTAAAAACTGTGGCTTTGACACTGAGAACTTAGAAACCCTGGCCCTCAAGTGTTCTAACTAGAGGTCAGCTATGACCAACAGTGCTGTGGAATTTGAAGAGGCACAAATTGAGGGCGAAAAATGAGGAAGGCATGTCAAGCCAACCCTCGACGGGACTGCTTTTCATCTGGAAACCAATGTCCTCATTGTGAAAGAACATACAGATCAAGATTGTCTTTACAATTATCTACAGACCCAATGCCAAGACCCTACAGTTGGAATGCAATCATACTCAGCCACGAGTGATAACCTATGATAATGACATAATCTTTAGCTCATTTTTTTGATTGTTTTTTAGACTAGACTTGATTGCAATCATTACTTTGGGACTGTTGCACAAAAGGCCAAAATTATTTCTTACAGGGTTACTTACTATTTCTCTTTTAGAAATAACATAATTAGCCTCTTTATAACACTTTTCTGATCCACTGAGGAGATTTCAAAATAAATATAAGTCAAAATGGAAAATTATGTCATTAACATATTTCATATATGATTTTTTTCCATACTGAATATAGCCACTGTGCTTAGCTCCATTTTCACTGTATCCATCCCATAAACCTTTGTAGGGCTATGCACATGTTACAGTACTTTAAGGAGTATAATTAGGTCAGTTTTCCCTTTATCAGCCTCAGAAAAAAAGAGCTGGCTCTTACAAATGTGTTTAATATTACCTGCATAGCTTCTGCCTGTACTCATACAGGATGATACAACTGTCCACTTATCTGTTGTTGGGTTATAATATTCCACTGTTGCCAAGTTACAGGAACCATCATCTCCTCCAACTACATATAAGAGCCCATTCACAGCACAAACTCCTAATACAAAACAGAAATATAGTGTTATTGCTTGTTTTCTTAGCTGGCCAGGCAACATTTATTGCCAGAGGACTGCCAGAAACAGGAGATATTTACTGGGTTATTGGCTTATGACTCAGTAAATGCAGTGTTACTCATCTGCTGGGAGGAAAATGCACGTATTTACATCAGAATTGGATGTGGGCTATTGCTTTTTCAACATTCAAAGCTGCAGCATTCCAATAAACCCCACTGCTGCTTCGTTACCACTCAATTGAAAATAGAATGGGAATTGTGAGTGTAAAGGTCAAATTAGGCTTTTTGTGTTCTCGGTATTCAGACCCCATACCTGCTCAGGTACAGAAATATCACAAGGGGGAGTTATCAGATTATGCCCTTTACTGAGCATTATATCAAAGGTTGCTTGTTAACTGTAATATTTACCTGCATTTCTCCTACACATGTTCATATTTGCAACTCGTTTCCATGTATTGGTGGTGGGATCATACATTTCAACGCTTTTTCTAACTAAAGGCCCATCATGACCCCCTACTGCATACAATAAGTTGTTTAAGACACCAACACCTGCAAGGATAAAATGCAAAATCATTAACATTCAATTGAAGCCAAAAGTGTTAAAGTGATATAATGTTTGGTAAATCCTGATAAATTTTGAAGTGGGATAGGGAGTAATTCTTACAAGATCTCTGAAAGGTAGTGTAATTTTTAAAAAATCCTCTCACTGAAGATGGGTTAATGAAGTTTGCAGTATTCAACATGATAATGGCCAGCTAATGAGTTAAAAGACTAAGGTTTTTAATCTGTGAGTTCCTGGTTTCAAGTTGACTCATAGCCATTACGTAATGGAAGACCAAGAACTGACATAGCTTCCTACATTTTACAAGACACTCACACTATGACGATTATGAGGATTACTTCTGCCAGAAGTAATCCCATAAGGTAAAGGTAAAGGTTTCCCCGACATTAAGTTTAGTCGTGTCTGACTCTGGAGAGTGGTGCTCATCTCCATTTCTCAGTTGAAGAGCTGGCATTGGCCGTAGACATCTCCAAAGTCATGTGACCAGCATGACTGCATGGAGCACCATTAACTTCCTGGAGAAGTATCACCTATTGATCCACTCACATTTGCATATTTTCAAACTGCTAGGTTGGTAGAAGCTGGGGCTAACAATGGGAGCTCACCCCGCTCCCCGGATTTGAATGGCCAACATTTCGAATAGGAAGTTCTGCAGCTCAGCGGTTTAACCTGCTGCGCAACCCAGGGTCCCACAGTAATCCCATACTTTATATTATGTACCCTGAGGTCTGCTTCAGAAAATCCACATATGACAGTGGCAGAACGTTAACTTGAATATCCATTCACTTGCCTGTTCTTACCCCCTAGGAAGTAATGAGAGTCTGCAGTGAATTCAAGCTTGATCTGAATCAGAAGTATCACATGTTCAAGTACATGCAATTAATTCCTGTATAGAAGGAGTGGGTATATCAAACAAGAGTTCTGTCTTGGCCAACTCACTGCGTGTCTATTTTCAAGAAATGGAAATATGGGCCAGATTATTTGGATGTAATTGATGCAGCATGTAAGTATCAAACCACCAAGACGTGAACAGTGAATGCATCTGTATTTTTCCATGAAAGTGTTCCAAAATATCATTTGCTTACTCACCTGCTCCACTACGACTAATGCCCATTTCTGCAACATAGGTCCATTCCTTTGTATTACTGTTATAGCATTCCACTGTACTAAGGCACTGGCGTGATGCACCATCGTAGCCACCAACAGCATACAACATACCTAAAGATATGAGCAAAATATCTATGTGGATTATAGACAACATACACCCCCCCTTTTTTTTTTAAACAGCTTCACTGGTTGTGTATTTGATTCTGGGCCAAAGTGCAGGTGATTGCCTATAAAGTCCTAGATGGTTTGGGTCCAGCCTATTTACGCAACTGAATCTCTTTTTATGAACTTGTTCGACCTTTAAGATCGGCTGGGGAGGCCCGTCTCTCGATCCCATCCCCATCGCAAGCAAGGCCGGTGGGGATGAGGGAGAGGGCCTTCTCAACAGTGGCCCCCCGGCTCTGGAATGCCCTCCCCAAGATGATTAGACAAGCACCCACCCTCACAACTTTTAAGAAGGACTTGAAGACCTGGCTGTTCAAACAGGCATTTGACAATGATTAGTTAATATCCCCTTAATGTGGACAAGGTCTTTGTTTTATGGATATGCTTCGACTCGGGTATTTTGGCTTTTATTTTTTAACTAAAGTTTTCTACTGTTTATTGTCTAATTTGTCTATTTTGTTTTATTTTGTTTTCTCTTTTATATTCACTTACCATGTTATTATCTGCTTTATTTTATTTTGCATATATTATTAATTGTATTTATTTATGTTGTAAGCTGCCCCAAGTCCTTTTGGGGAGATGGGACAGGATATAAACATTATTATTATTATGCACCAAACTGATAGGAAGTGTGTCATAATATCCGTCATCTGTAAACTACAAGGAAACTTAAGCAGCTCTGAGTGAGAAGGGCGGCATATAAATGTCGTAAATAAATAAAAGTCTTGCAACATGTATATATGAAGATTATTTAAATGTGTTGAACAAGCAAGCATGTAAATGACGTATATACTTGAGTATAAGCCAAGTTTTTCAGCCATTTTTAGGCTGTAAAAGCCCACCTCAGCTTATACTTGAATCAAAGTTGTTTATTATTTTACTCTGTTGTTATTATTATTACATTTGTGGACACTGTAACTGTTGTCAACAATCACTCAAGATTAAAATATACTCTCATCCAACACTTAACATCAAGATTACCTTGCAACATTTAACAACATGTTCCACTGATAATGTAATTTACCTATTAGAATGCTCCTGCAAGCTATTATATGTTGGAATGACTACTAGACCCCTTAAAACCAGGATAAATGAACATCGTTCACGCATAAGGAATGGGTCCATTGACTCTTCACTATATGTACATTTCAATGAAAAAGCTCATACACACCATAGCTTTAAATTTTGCGCTTTAGAAAAAATATTACCCAGACCTAATGCAGATGTAAAAAAACTCCTTCTACAAAGAGAATCTTTTTGGATCTTTAAACTACAAACACTGGTTCCACAAGGACTAAATGATAAAATTGAATACACTTGTTTCTTGTGAAATGTAGTTCTACTTAAGAGGTAGCCTAGGTATGACTCATTGCTCGTTATAGAACTCCTCCAGAACAGAGCCTGTACTACTGAAGAGAGTGTAAAGAGAGTGTAAGTAGAGTAGCGTGTTTCTTTACTGTTATTATAGAATGTTTTACTAGAAATGTGAATTGGGGAGTTTCATGTATCTATTGTGTATGTTATTTTTACTCCTTTATTTAGTGCATTAAGTATAATGTGATAACAGACTACATCCTGAAGAAGATAATTTTTCGAAACAAGGAGAACATACCGGGAGACCTTGTAGAAATTGTGTTACCTAAGGAAGACTCTGCTGCATAAGAAGTACTCCTTAAAGACTGTGTTGCTAAAAGAAGAATTCTTTTGAGGATAAAGACAGAGACTGTTGAATTCCTGCACTGAAATCTGACTCCAGGAAAGGATGGACTTTATTATCTCTAGTCTACTATTCATTGCTCTATGTTGATAAGATAACCTACATTTACTTATAATGTGCTGATAACATTACTGTTAAATGCTATAAATGCTATAAAGTCTAGACAATTTACTCCATTAGAGAACATATTATCCTGATTTATATTATTTTCTTGAGAGTCTTATAAAATACACATACATACATTCTTGTTTCTATATTCTTTTTAAAGGTTGTCCCCTGACATTAAGTCCAGTTGTTTCCGACTCTGGGGGTTGGTGCTCATCTCCATTTCTAAGCCAAAGAGTCGGCGTTGTCCATAGACACTTCCAAGGTCATGTGGCCGGCATGACTGCATGGAGCGCCGTTACCTTCCCGCCAGAGCGGTACCTATTGATCTACTCACATTTGCATGTTTTCGAACTGCTAGGTTGCCAGAAGCTAGGGCTGACAGCGGAAGCTCACACCGCTCCCTGGAATCGAACCTGCGACCTTTTGGTCAACAAGCTCAGCAGCTCAGTGCTTTAACCCACTGCGCCACCGGGGGGGCCGCCATTTACATTTTACTCTTATTATTATTACTTTTACATTATTTTACTCTATTATTACATTTATTATTTTACTTTATTGTTGTTATTATTATTACATTTATTATTTTACTATATTATAATTATTATTACACTTCCGTTATTGTATTCTATTATTTATTATTATTATTTATTTTACTCTATTATTATTGGAAGGATACATAATCACATTTACATTGAAGGTTAGAATGATGATTTAGTCAGAGCTGGACAGTCTTATTTAAATTACAGTTTTATGGGAATATTAAAAAACATTTAACTTACTGATCATCAATTAATGTAACTGCATTAGTATCTATTTTTATTTTGAATTTCCCATCCTTGGCTTTTACTTGAATCAATAGCTTTTCAGAGTTTTTTTGTGGCAAAATTAGGTGCCTCAGCTTATATTTGGATCAGCTTATACACAAGTATATACGGTACATAGTTTTAGATCATTATTTCAAAATAGTAGATATTACTTTCTTATTCTTCAAGTATTTAATCAATTCAAAGAAGCATTTAGTAGTCAGAGAAGTCATTTAGAAAGAGGTACTATTTGGATATTTGATTCCACCTAAAAATTAGGAAAAGCTTCCTGATGGTACTATAAGAGCCATTCAATAGTGAAATATGCTACTTTGGCATGTGGTGGAGTCTCCTTCTTTGGAAGTTTTTAAGCAGAGGCTGGATGGCCATCTGTCGGGAGTGCATGGGCGGAGGTTGGACTGGATGGGCCTTGTGGTCTCTTCCAGTTCTATGATTCTCTTATTCTGTTCCTTGACAAAATCTAATGTGAACAAGAGATTGATAAAGAATCCAGCAGAGGGCAATGTTGGGTCTAATACTGCATTTATAGGCAGAATTCTTCTCTGCATTCACCTTAGTTGCAAAAACTATTTTCTGTTAAATTAAACTGTTAGGCTGGGAAAAACATGTCATATAGACAGCAAATCCAACTTAGTCCTTAGAGACCGTACCTCCAACTACACCTACGCCAACACTACTTCTCCTTGTGTTCATTGGAGTCACATGAAACCATTCATTAGTCTTCATATCGTAGGCTTCTACTGAGGATAACCCTGTAATAAAGCAGAATAGAAAGCTAGAAGATATACAAATATTATTCAGTCTTACTCTTCCATGAATAATGAATGGGAATTATAGAATATTCTCATTTATGGAATGAAGAAATGTTATTTAACTACTGAAAGAGGTAACAGTAACATTAGATTTTTAAATCTAATCTCTCAGCCTTCTCTTCTTCAGGCTAAACATTTTTAATCTAATCTGTTAAGATTGTTTTGAGCAGAATTCAAAACAACCTTAACAGATTAGAGAGAGGGGCCAAAACTAACAAAATGAAGTTCAACAGGAAAAAATGCAACATACTCCACTTAGGCAGAAAAAAATGAAATGCAAAGATACAGAATGGGGGACGCATGGCTCAAGAGCGGTACATGTGAAAAAGATCTTGGAATCCTCATGGACAACAAGTTAAACATGAGCCAACAATGTGATGCAGCAGCTAAAGAAGCCAATGGGATTTTGGCCTGCATAAATAGGAATATAATCTTGCTATCCCTCTATTCTGCCTTGGTCATACCACATCTGGAATACTATGTCCAATTCTGGGCACCACAATTGAAGGGAGATGTTGAAGGGAGGGTCTGGAAAACAAGCCCTATGAGGAGCGGCTTAAAGAGCTGAGTATGTTTAGCCTGCAGAAGAGAAGGCTGAGAGGATACATGATGGCCATGTATAAATATGTGAGGGGAAGTAATAGAAAGGAGGGAGAAAGCTTGTTTTCTGCTGCCCTGGAGACTAGGACATGGAACAATGACTTCAAACTACAGGAAATGAGATTCCACTTGAACATTAGGAAGAACTTCCTGACTGTGAAAGCTGTTCAGCAGTGGAACTCTCTGCCCTGGACTGTGGTGGTGGCTCCTTCGTTGGAGGCTTTTAAGCAGAGGCAGGATGGCCATCTGTCAGGGGTGCTTTGAATGTGATTTTCCTGCTTCTTGCCAGGGGGTTGGACTGGATGGCCCATGAGGTCTCTTCCAACTCTATGAATCTATGTTTCTAGATAGCAGGTCTAAGTGGAAATATTGTGTACACAAACACCTAAAAGAAACAATCTAGAATGCATTTGGTACATAATATAGAAATGGTTCTCTACCTTTTGCTGTTGTTTTATCTTTTTAAAAATGCAGGGCAGAGAAGAAAACCCAGTTCAAAAGAAGTAGAATAAATGGTATTTCACAATAATGCATAGATCTTTTATGACATGGATTTGAGTCAGTGTGTTATCTATTTTTATTCAGTGCAGTCTTCCTTTATCAAGAGCTGCCTTTCTCCTGTGTTTCAAGGTACGAGGGCAACAAGGAATATAGCTGTAGAAAATCTACAAAATTGAAATATCTCCTCAAAGAAAAAATGCTCAGGACAGGATTAAGGAAAAACATATACCTGTGCTCCCATCAAATCCTCCAACAGCATACAGAAGTCCATTTAGTACAGCTGCCCCCAAAGTGCTTCTTCTGTCTTGCATATTAGCAACACTTGACCACTGGTTCTTCACTGGATCATAAGAATCAACAGTACGGACCCTCAAGGACCCATTGAATCCACCAACAGCAAAGACAAGGCCACTCATGTATACCACTCCTGAAAATGAGAATGATCTATCAAATTGCTTATATTTATTTATTATTTTATTTATTTTATTTTATTTTATTTATTTACATCCCGCCCTTCTCACCCCGGAGGGGACTCGTGGTGGCTCACAACAAAGGCACAATTTGATGCCTTGAACACATGTCAACATAAAACAACATATGTATTAAAACCACATCATTAAAACATATGAACTAAAACAGTTATTTAAAATCACACAATCCAAGAACCTAAGTCAGGAACCATTCCATTTGTTATCTGTTATTGTTCATTATTGTACTGAGATATCAATTGCTGCACTATCACTGTGCAAATGCTTGGTCCTATAACCAGGATTTAATTTTCTTCCTGAAGGACAGGAGGGAGGGAGCTGTTCTAATTTCCCTGGGGAGGGAGTTCCACAGCTGAGGGGCCACCACAGAGAAGGCCCTCTCTCTTGTCCCCAAGTCACACCTGCAAAGGCAGTGGGATCGAGATCAGTGCCTCCCCGGACGATCTTAAGTTTTTAGTTTCTGCAAATGACATTTTAAAATGTTATCACCCTGGTGTTATGTGCTAAGCATTAACTATATGTCAACCCAGATTTCAACATCAGTTTATGAATTCATGAAGCTACCTGCTCTGCATCTTCTGGAAGGCAACTCAAGGACTTGGTGCCAACGTTCTTCTTTAAAGTCGTAACATTCTACACTGCGGATAGCCTTTGGTGCTTGTCCTCCAACCACCACCATCAGCTTCAAAGGAAGGAACAACAAATAATTTACCCAAATGCTTGTTTGGATTGATGACAACAAGAAATGAGAAGTTATCCTCTCTTAAAAGAGCAACCAACATGACCAAGAAACCATAGGAGAGCTGCCATTATATCTCTCAGAAATGGAATGCCTCTCATCACAATGTGTGAGTGGCTAAAATCAAACTGAAATGCTCGGCTCCAGATGTGAACATGTAGAAACAATGACAGTTGACCTGCCGCATCACAAAAAAGTACAGGTGGCACAAGAACTTCTTGCTATAGTTCATATCTATAAGTACAATAGAGCAATGGTGTCAAACTCATTTTCACCCAGGGCCACACTGGCTTTATTGATGCCTTCAAAGGGCCATTTGTGATTGTAAGACTGTAGAAATATAACTACGTTGCCCTGGCATTGAAAGCCTTGCGGGCCACATAAAATGACTTGGAAGGCCAGATTTGGCCCACAGGTCTTGCGTTTGATATGTGTGCTATAGAGGAAGTAAACTTGCTCTATAGCAGTGGTTCTCAACCTGTGGGTCCCCAGGTGTTTTGCCCTACAACTCCTAGAAATTCCAGCCAGTTTACAAGCTTGTTAGGATTTCTGGGAGTTGAAGGCCAAAACATCTGCTGTATAGTGTCCTGTAAACCTTAGCCATCTTTATGAGACTTTCTTTGGAGGCAATTCCATCACCACCAATGGTTCATAAAGAACTAAGATGTCTTTCCACTTCTATACTACAATTATGTCAGTTTGTACAGACACCACGAAGAAGAACCAAAGTCTTCCAAACTGTGTTGCAACACATTAGCATGTCACTTGGAGTACGAAGGTGTGTCACACAAACGTAATGAGCAATACATCATTTGTTTTTTAAAAAAGAAAAAGTTTTCATGAGATATGTTGTGTCCATTTTGTAATTACATTTTATGAATGTGTCCATATCTCTTATATGGGGTTGGCTTAACTTCCGAGTTGCTAGAAAACTGAATTTCTATCACAAAATGATGCCTGTTGAAAAGTGTTGGAGGAACATAGAATGTTTGGAAAGCTCTGGCCTAAATTAACAGAATCATTATATTAATGGAAACTACATATTTTACAGAATTTGGCAAATCAGTATCATTGAACGTGTCTACTCTAATTGGAACTAACAAATGGGATTCATGTAGCCCTCCAGATATTGAGGAACCACTAGTGCCAACATTTTTCACCAACTGGAATTGATGGCAAGATGATGATACAGAACACAGTAATGTTATTAGAAGAGTTCCTGTTGAATCAGTGGTTCCCAACCTGTGGTCCGTGGACCACCAGTGGTCCGCAAGAACTAAAGTATGGTCCACAGCCTCACTATTACAACACTGTTGTAACTGGTCTTGCAAAACTCTCTGATAGTGCTGAGGCTTATTAAATATGGTTTTCTGTGGCCAAGCAGATGGAGACTGCTGGATGGTATATGTTTTGTATCAGAAACTAGAACTGATGTGGTCTAGCCAAAGCCATTTTCTGACTCAGCACCCCAAATAACCAAACTAAATCTCAAGCTGATTCCCAACCCTTTTGGTACTAATGTTGGAGAATAGTCCCCGGTCAAAGTGGTCCCTGGTCAAAAGAAGGTGGGGAGCAACTGTGTTAAATGATTCCCCATACCCTCCATGTGTCACACATGTGAAATCAAATGCATCTGTACTATTTAACTAAAAAGGTCAAGGCCCATTATATGGCCATCTGGTGACCACTGGTGTCACCTTAAGAACCTTGTTGGAAGAAAGGTGGGAATACAATCCAAATAAAATAAATTTTAGTCCACAGAACTCTGCTGAAGAATTTGAAATTAGAAAAGCCAGAAATAACTGGGAGGCTCTTCTAATTTGTATATAATAGGATCTCTGTCACCATGGAACCCACATCTGTGATTTCACTTATCTGCACCTGAGGAAATATGAACTCTGGGAATTTGCTAGGCCCTATAGGAAATTCTATGATATACCTTTTCTGGAAATACTATAGGACTGTGTTGGAGAAGCTGGCAAAATCTTAGGATATCCCCTCTAGGAATCTTTAGGCCTTCCAATTCAATAATAGCATGCTGGGCCCAGTGATGTGATTCAATGGCATTTGATCATATCCACTGTTTCACATAACCTTGGTCTACCTGGGAACATATCTTCCTAAGATGTAGGAGTCTTACTGTATCTAAACTGACTTATTTTATAAAGCAATCTCTGTGCAATAACATAACAATGACCCCCTCTCTGATTTAATTATTTTATGGTATCCTCTTACACTGTTCTGATGTAATAGGACTGGCCATTAAAAAAAATTGAAAGATCACATGTTCAAAGTGCTTTAGCTTTTCCTTGCAAAATGTAATGCAATGCAACACAAAAGGGAAGCAAAGAAGCCAAGGGTGACACTTACTTTTGGAAGGCAGGCTGGTGTTCTCAGTCTTGTTCGTGTGGATTTCATTAGAGCTCTTTGCTCAAGTGGCAGCAAGTGATACTTCATCGCTTCAATGAGATAATCCTTACATGCACTGCTGTTTTTAACAAGTGCCTCCTCTTCAACTCTCTGTGCATTGAACATATTGACACAGTCTCAACAAATGCTGCTACACAAGTGCACATTGACTAATCTAATTTGGTAGAATGTGCAGTTCTCATTTCAGTATTAGCCTTATGCCAGAACTCTTGGCTTTGAATCCCATTTTGAGAGATACAAACTCAATAAATAAATAAATGTGTTCCGCTACAGTATTTAAACATGTTTTCCAAACATGTTTAAAATAGTTGCTGGCAATATAGAGCAAAGAAAGAGTACAGAAAACATGCCTGTGCAAAAAATGTAATGCAACACAATTAGCTATATCTATTTTACTTTGAGAACTATTCCCTGGAATTTTCTCCTGTTACAAAGAATACACATTTCACTAACGCAAATATTTTTTTCTGATATTTCCTTTGTATCAGGATAATGTATTGGAATCCAAGAAAATCAAAAGGAAAGAAAATGGAGGAAAGCAAAATTATTTTTAAAGAGAATATTTCTAAAATATAGTATATGATAATGTACGTAGCAAATACAAATATTTTCAACAGAAAATTAGAGAAACCTATATGCATAGTATCACACAATCAAAGTACTTATTCCAGTATACTGACAGCATTCTAACCAGAATAATTTGCGATGGGACTTTACAGGTTATCGTATATACTTGAGTATAAGCCGAGTTTTTCGGCCCTTTTTTGGCTGAAAATGCCCCCCTTGGCTTATATGCAAGTCAAAGTTTTTAATATTTTACTTATTATTATTATTATTACTATTATTATTACATTTATTATTTTTCTCTATTTATTATTATTATTATTATTATTATTATTATCATTGTTACATTAATTATTTTACTCTATTATTACCGTTATTATTACATTTCCATTATTCCATCCTTGGCTTATACTCAAGTCAATACATTTTCCCAGTTTTTTTCTGGTAAAATTAAGTGCCTTGGCTTATATTTGGGTCAGCTTATATACGGTATATTGATTTACTCACTCATCTTTTTTTCTATCCATCAGGATGTGCAACAAAAAAAGTAGATCATATCTTTGACAATAAAATAATGCATGGTGTCTCTACCATAGCAATAAGTCTGTGAAATAAAAACTGAGTATGGAGGCTGTGCACCTTTTCAAATTGAATAATTAATTTTAATTAATTAAAATCATTCTGGAGCCTGTAGAATCATTTCCAGCCACTAGGTGGCAAGTTTTACTTACCTATTCTAATAATTGGAGAGGAAATTAGAATGAGACCTAGAATATTCATTTCTCCAAATGAATTTTTATGTAACATCTTCCCTCTTCAGGTTTTTCAAATGTTTATACTGGGGAAGTGGGGTGAACAAATGAAAAGACTGACAGACGCCAGGATAGAGGAAGAGAAAGATAACAGAAAGGACAGGTGAAAAAGCAAAGAGAAAAACTCCAAAAATGGCTTAACTATGGGTTTTCTAACCCATGTGAAGTTGACTATATCTCCTCTACCCAAATTATAGAAAAATGATGTAAATTAGTACATCTTGGCAACAATAGCTACTCATGATTAGGGCATGCCCATTGCTTAATGTTACAGGTTTTAATCCTACACTTTTTAGGCCTATCCACTTAAAAGTTAATTTATTTTTCTAACAGAATCATATTATAGAAAGAGTGGATGTGAAATGCTTACTTTTTACTTACCTGAACCAAATACTCTCGGGAGAGCAATGGCAGGCGAACATGTTCCATCAGGCGTGCCATGAGCTCCTGTCGCACATCTTTGTCATGGTTAACCCAAACTATCACGGCTTCAAATACCTTCCACAATACAAGGCATACTATGAGTTTTGCACATTTTTCTGTTTGAGCATATTCACTTTGTCTTCTGAAATTCAGAATAATTTTTTTCATATCAGGAGCAACTTGAGAAACTGCAAGTCGCCTCTGGTGTGAGAGAATTGGCCGTCTGCAAGGATGTTGCCCAGGGGATGCCCAGATGTTTTACCATCCTGTGGGAGGCTTCTCTCATGTTGCCACATGAGAAGCTGGAGCTGACAGACAGGCGCTCACCCCGCTCCCTGGATTTTGAACCGCCGACCTTTCGGTCAGCAGTCCTGCCGGCACAAGGGTTTAATCCATTGTGCCACTGGGGCTCCATTCAGAATGATGAAAAGAAGCACCAAGTGCTAGTACATCAGAGGGGACTAGAGGATCAGAATTGTCTTAACGTTTAGCTTGGACACAAAGAAAAGCTTTAGCTATCCACGCATGCCATCTACAGCAACAATACTAGTATCAACATCGAGAAAAGGATGTTACATCAGAGCTGCTTTCTTCAGCCAGACCCAAGAAAAACAAATGCTCTTCTCTTCTCACCCATGGGAAGTATCCAAAGACAAGAAAATTATTTGGACATATAGGGCAGAAAATCCCACGTGCATCTTTCCTTCTGTGATTACATCCAAGTTATAGCTCTTTGCTTTGTGCTTATAGTAACAACAGAAATCACGCAAACTAATTCACTTATTGTATGTTCTGAGCTGTGCACCCAAAATAATCCTGTGACCGGGGACAGGATAAAGTTTTGTGTAGACTTATGTATGGATACAAAAGATAAGTTTCTGGGTGAAGGTATCCACTACCCCTGTCTTGCTACTTCATCATACTAGAGAAAAAATCCACTTAAAATCCGGTTTCTGCTTCCTGCAGAATTCTGGGGTTTGTAGTTTAGAGAGGAGCCTTTAACAGTCTCGGTAAACTACAAACCCCAGAATTCTGCAGGAGGCAGACACTAGATTTTAAGTGGACTTTTTCTCTAGTGTAATGAAATTTTTGATTTTATTTTGACAAGTAGAAAACTCATTTTATCCACTACTGTATTGTCGAAGGCTTTCATGGCCAGAATGACTGGGTTGTTGTAAGTTTTTCGGGCTGTATGGCCATTCTCTCCTGAAGTTTATCCACTGCTGCTTGTGAGGCCTTTACAAGATAAACCTCTAGGAGGGAACATTGAAGATGAAAGGGCTTGATTTATAAGGCACATTTCACAATGCAATTTTACACATCTACTTGGAACTATCATATACATTGATGTATAAATTTGGCTCATGTGTAAGTAGAATTCTGATTACTTAAATTATGGATTTTTAGTGTTCCTAAATACTATATATGCTGTTGGCATGCACAACTCAAGTTTGATACAAGAGAGAATTCAGATAAAATGACATTACGTATATACACAGACATGAAATCTATATGAATGCTTTTAAAAAGTTCAGTTCAAATGAAATTAAGGTACCCTCCCTTAATGCTGATTTAGTCAAAGAAAGGAGAACAATCAAATAACTCTTCTAGCAGGTTGAGATGTGGGCCGACAGTGCTGCAATCCTGCCAAGCCTCAGGGAGTTGGACTGGGATGTTACAGTAAAGTGTCAGCCCTTACTAAGGGGTGGAAAACCCACACAGGACCTAGACATTTGGCAAAGCAAAGTGATCACAACAGCTCTGTCATATGCTCAAGCTGAGCACATGGTTTGCTTAACCTACATCTCAGCCCACATTCAGTGTCATATGATGATGCCTTGAACTACTCTCTGCATTCAAATAATTATGACATCTTCCCTTAAGTTTCTTTTAGACACAGGGTTGTTTTTTGTTGCTCACAATTCTTCCATAGTTTTGTATCCTCCACACTGGGTGACAGTAATGTGTTGCACAGCAAGGCATTTTTGAATGCTGCCCCGCAACTGCAGCTATTCCATAATGGAGCTTCCAGGCATCTGACTGAGATCAGCTGATGGGAACATGTTTTATCCAAATTGAAAGACCTCCACTTATAATAATACAAATCTAATTCAAAGTCTTTTACATATTTTTATAGAGTCCCATGAAGCTTGAGATTGAAATATCTGTAGAATCATCTGTTTCCACATTAACCAACCAACTGTTGTCGTTGTGTGCCCTCAAGTAGTTTCCGATGGTGATCCTAAGACAAACTATCACAAGGCTTTCTGAGGTTATGAGAATGTAACATGCCCAAGCAAACCCAATGGCTTTCATGGCAGAGTGGAGATCTGAACCCTGTTCTCCTGAGTCGCAGTCCAGCACTCTACCCACTATGTGACACTGGCTCTATACAGTGGGTCCTTGGTATCTGTTTCTGTTTGGCTCCTGAATCACCCCATGGATACCAAAACCCATAGATGCTGAAGTCTTGTTATATACAATGGCATAGTAAAATGGTATTCATTATATAAAATGGAAAAAATAAAGTTTGATCTTTTCAAATTAATTAATTATTTATTTTTAAACTTAATTTATAACCCACCCTTCTCAACCCCGAAGGGACTCTGAGTGGCCTTATAAATTAGGCACCAATTCGATGCCAAAAATAAACATACAATAAAATAAACATTTAAATTAAAACCAAAACATTAAAACAACACAATTTAAAACCCATTATTAAAATCATGCCATCCAAAATCATAATCCAAATCAGTAAAATGAATGAATGAATGAAGTTGAAAGTGCTGTTCTAGACTTTTAGAATCCTTAGCCAACATGGCAACTGGAGAAGAAAAAATAGTATTTAGAGCAGAAATGGGCAAACTAAGGCCCGGGGAACAGATGGGGCCCCCTGGGTGCTTATCTCAGCCCCTCCTAATTTACCTGTCCTCTCAGCATAAGGACACGGTGGCCTGCCACATCCTTTTGCAGGAAGCACAGGGGAGGAAAGCACACAGCAGCTGAGAGCCCTCTGGAGCACTCTCAGCCACTGCATGTCTCACCCTCCTCCTGGCATAAGGACGGTGCAAGTGGCCCTGTCCTTATGCAGAGAGGACAGCTCAAGGAAGAGCCCCCCGGAGCACTTCGGAGGACAGTCTAAAGATCAAGGGAGGAGGATTGGGGCAGTTGTGCCGCATGCCTTGTTTTCCTCCCAGCATAAAGATGAGGTAAGCAACCCCATCCTTATGCCAGGACGACAACCTGAGGATGACTCAGACCCTCCCTTGCCCCCTCCCGGCCTAACCCTCTCAAAGGCTCTCTCCTTCTCGGCTCTGCACTTTTATCAAGTCCACAATGTGGCCCCAAAGCAAAAAAGTTTGCCCATGCCTGTTTTAGAGTCTAAGAACAGATAGAACTGATACATGGCTTCATTCCATTTAATCAGGCTCCAGGATTCAAGAAAATTGCATCCAAATTACAGGGAAGTTATCTTACCTTTTCCTCAGATTTTATTTTAAGTTTGTCACTTGATATTAAGCTGCACACCTGTTCTACACCCATGTTCAAAAACTCCTCAGTGAGTACAACTTCTGTAAAGTGCTGTTCTGTTTGGAGAAAAAGACATGCCTTAGAAACATAGCACCCTGCTGCAATGTGGTTAGCAATAAAAGAAATACTTTCCTTGATAGGTATGGTTGATGGAAACATGACAGAGTTTTCCCCGTATCTGTCCTTGAATTTTGGAAATACCTTTTGAAATAAGTCAGTATGCCTCCCCTCCTTGTTCTCCTTTCAACAAGCAAAAACTTCATTCACACAGGTTGTTAGAGTTGGCAGCTTTTAAGGAAAAGGCTTGGTAAAAGTTGTATTCTTTTACATTTTATTTTTAACTTTTGAAAATATTTTAAAAATATTATACTTTTGATATTGTTAATAGTTTAAGTGATTTTTAATGTTGACTTTCTATATGCTTTAACTGTAATCTTTTTATGTGCAAGCCGCCTTGAATCTCTGTCTTGGGTAAAAGGCAGGATACAAATAAAGTTAAAAATAATCTGTATAGATTCAGTAGATGTCCCATATTGAATTTTCATTTCAGTTCTAATAGCTACTTGGTGGGGCACACAGTGAATGCATACAAGCACAGCAGCACACTCTTCAGTATGGAAATCGCATTTATGAAATCAACCAAATTTAATTATTTTAGTCCCATGAGAATAGTTATATCTCTACATAGAATACAGTACTGTCTGTGATTTCTCAAAGTATAATTTTAGTAAGATTCCAATTACAGAAGAGACCTTGAGTTAAAAAACAGAGTTTAGTGACAGCCTTAAAAACCAAAGTCACTGAGCTAAAAGGAATTGTAGCCTGAAGGCGATATCCACTTCGCAAAAACAAGAGAAATGTGATTTTGTTTTTACTGGTTTTTTCCCTTTAACAAAGAAATCCAACTTTAATCCAAATCCAAACATATTAATTGCCAAATACTGCATGAAAAATGCAGCAATTTAGAAAGAACATTTTAAAATAAGGTAGGCCATACATCAAGCTACCATCGAAAAACAGAGAGGAGGACAATAATCTGAAAGGACATCTTAAATTTTTGATGATTCCCTTTAGGGGCAGATATGCTGACGTTTCTGTAGCCAGAACAGCATCTGCATGCACAAGTGCGAAAAGATATTACAATAGTCAGTAATGCCCATAGATTTGTTAAGAGGGCCCAGGTAGACAATCTAATAAGAGAGGCAATGTGACAGTAGGCAGTTGTCTTACACTAAATCTGACCACTTGTCCATCTGTTGCTTATTCATTCAGTTGCTTCCGACTCTTTGTGACCTCATGGATCAGCCCACGTCAGAGCTCCCTGTCAGCCGTGGCCACCCCCAGCTCCTTCAAGATCAAGCCAGTCACTTCAAGGATAACATCCAGCCATCTTGCCCTTGGTCGGCCCCTCTTCCTTTTTCCTCAGCATCAAAATTTCTCCAAGTTTTTGTGTCTTCTCATTATGTGGCCAAAGTATTGCATCTTTGCCTCTAATATCCTTGGCCTCCAGTGAGCAGCCAGACATTATATTCTGGCATACGGACTGGTTTGATCTTCTTGCAGTCCAAGGCACTCTTAGAATTTTTCTCCAACACCCACATTTCAAAAGTGTATATCTTCCTTCACTCAGCCTTCCTCGGTAATTAGATTCAAGAAATATGGATTAAATTTGTGAGCTATTGCTAATGGAATAAATCTGATTCATATATTTATGCCATCTATGGTGAGAAGATCCCAAAGATGTGTTCCTGCTAAAGAGCAATTCCTCCTCATGATGCATTCATGTTTCAGTAAATGCTGTCTAGATTTTGACATTTCCTTGTTTTTAGGGTACTAAATCATCTTGTTTTCTATTGAAATTCAACTCCTCGGGGTCTCTTCATCTTGGAAGAGTCAAATTGCCCAAAGAAGGACTGGGTCCTATATTCAGGAACCCTTTCAGACTATTATTATTATTATTATTATTATTATTATTAACTTTATTTATGCCCCACTTTTCTCACCCCACAGGGGACTCAAAGTGGCTTACAAACTCTGGAAAAAATTCAACGCCACATCATAAAACAACAATAAAACAAGCCATATCAAACTATAAATAGTTAAAACAAATAAACAAATTAACACGAATGAAAGCAATAAAACATAGCAGATTAAAAACATAACAAAGTGCCGAGTCTTGGTTTCCATACTTACTGTAATATCCTATTCTCTGAACGCCTGTGTGACAGAGCCAGGTCTGTAGCCTTTTCCTGAAGACCAGGAGGGATGGGGCCAACCTGATGTCACTGGGGAGGGAGTTCCACAACTGAGGGGACACCACTGAGAAGGCCCTGTCTCTCGTCCCCACCAGTCACACTTGCAAGGGGGGTGGGACTGAGAGCAGGGCCTTCCCAGCAGATCTTAAAGCTCTACTAGGCTCATAAAGAGAGATATGTTCGGACAGGTAAGTTGCAGCCCTTTAGGGCTTTATAGGCCAAAGCTAGCACTTTGAATTAATCCTGGTAGCAAACTAGAAGCCAGTACAAGTGCAGCTGGCCCACAAGTTTTAATTGTGCGAAAGCTCCCTTGGTCACCGCTTAAATCTGGGGTTTCAGGCTCAGAGATGAATCCAGGAGAACTTCCAAGCTGCAAACCTGTGTCTTCAAGGGGAGTGTAACCCCATCTAACATATGCTGTAACACGTTGTTCTACAACTATGCAGTTATAGAACAATGATTCCACTTTAAATGTCTCTGAAACATCCTATGGAATCCTGGAGTTTGGCATTTGCTGGGGCACTATAGCTGTCTGACTGAGAATTCTGAATAACTCGCTCTGAACTGCAAGTCCCAGGACTCCATAAGATATCGCAAAGACAGTTAATTTTCAGTTGATTTTGCCAAGTTCTTTTGTGTTTTGTTGAGGTCTAAGGGGTTTTGGAGAGTCAGGGGAAGGCAGCCACTGTCGTTTGAGCATTCTTTGAGCAATTTTCAGACAGAAAAGAAGCTTCTCCTACAAACCAATTCAACTCTTTTTAAAAAGACTGGGGTTCTTAGAAAATTCTGAGAGGCTTCGGGGATGTAAGGACCACAAATGCCCCAAGGGATACAATTTGTCAGGTCCTTGATCAAATGTATAATTTTCCCAGGCCACTTTTCCTGGACATTTGAAATTATTTTTCCCCCCTACATAGTCAACTAACTATATCATGGCATTGTTAATTAAGGACATTTTTTGGTTAATAAAATGTTTACATATCACTTTTTAGTATTCAGTGTGGTCTATTGAATAAGGTAATTAATATGAGACTGAAGAAAAAAAATGAGGGGGACTGAAGTACCACAACACACTGGTCCCAAATCCCATGTCAGCCAGGGTCTGGAATGATACTATAACTGATGTAATAGAAGACTTTTCCAATTGCCACTAACGCACCCTGGAAGATTAGCTGTCATAAGAAATAAAAATGTAGAAACTAGAGTGCTACTGCAATTTATATACCTGTATTTCCGATTACATGTTTAAATAAAAAAAATATTTTAAATTATTAAACTGTTTCAAATTGTTAATTCACTAAATCGTTATTTTTAAAGATGTACTCAGATTGAAAGAAAAGAAGCAAAGTTCAGTTTAAAATGTGTATCATGTTTGGTTATGGGTAAATCATTATTTGGAATCTTAATAAACTTACAGAATAATTTTTGCATCTTGGAGAAGCAAATTGTTCAGAGTACAGAATTCTGAGGTCATTGCTTACCTTCAAGTACAAAAGCATTCCTTCTTCCAACCAGTTTCAGTTAAGGCAGAACTGCTTCCTTCTCCTACTCTCCTGAACCTAATTATTCTTGTGTATACTCAGGATAAGAGTCAATAGTTTGGCTGTGATGCCTGGCCTCAGCTATTATTGTCATTTATTCCCCACAGGGCTAGATGCTTGCCTACAAGGTCACTTATGTTCCTACTGGAAAAATTAATGGTGTAAAAGTCCAGATTGTTTAAAAAGACAGTGTTTCATTTTGTGTGCAGAACAAATGTTGCCACAGTTAGGCAGAACCTTTTCAAAGGTAATACACAGCCCACACTTGGACAGTTTAACAGTGGTAACAACATGAATGTCTTGAACACTCCAGAAGAAAACACAGTGTGAAAAGACTGTGCTGTAGGAAGCCTTTCATAGCTGGGATCACTGGGTTGTTGTAATTTTTTCGGGCTGTATGGCCATGTTCAGAAGCATTCTCTCCTGACGTTTTGCCCACATCTATCACAGGCATCCTCAAAGGTTGAGAGGTCGGCTGGAAACTAGGCAAGTGAGGTTTATATAACTGTGGAAGGTCCAGGATGGGAGAAAGAGCTCTTGCCTGCTTGAGGCAAGTGTGAATGTTTCAATATTTATGTTAGTCTTCAATTTCCAAAACTATAAGCATAGAATAACACAGATCTGCATTCTCCTTACACAAGATTTTAATTATTCTTGCCTTCTGACAGCTATGACAGTAACTATTGTACAGTGATAATCTCTGGCCTAAATCCATTTGCTAGCCCAAATTAGTGTAAGCCTACTAAATCAACAGTACTTTTGCAAAAGAACTGACTTATCCAGCAAGCAATACCATGGGTCTACTTTATCTGGGACTATTCATTGGATTTAGCCTACTATGTATAATTACTATCATAACAGATTGCTAGGAAGGAATATGAAGATTTGATACTGAAACTGCCTTATTAAAATAAATATTTATTTTTTAATCTATTCAGTTTTCCAACCGTCTCATGAAATTTTCTTTTGTGCCAAAATACGAGATAACTCAGTTGCGAGGCTTTTATATTTCACTCACTATTGCATTGCTTTCGCTTGGTATTAGCAGCATTCAAAGGCTACCAAATTAGACATAGTTAGAAGCAATATCCCAGCCTAAATTAATATGTTTGGAGAACTGGCACTGCACTTGCCTGCATACGTGTTAGCCTTGTTCAGAAGTTCTATGCACGCATGCATGTCAGCAAAAGCACGGATTCCCAAACAATTGACAGGATGAAGCTGAGTTTCCAAAAAGTCGCAGCAGCTCTTCTTGACATCCTGCAACTGCAATAAACTAGCTGCCGGGAGAAGCACCTAAAACAATCAAAACTAGATGAGTTTGTGCAGTTAATGAACACAATGAACATGAAAAAGTATTTAAAAAAACAATTTGAAAAAAATGCACGAGTATTAGGATTAGTACAATGTAGAAAAAAGATGGAACCAAGGCAGACTTTTAAAATCACCTTCTTTCTTAACCGGTGTTTTTAAAAGCTCATACTTTCCAATTGTTCCAACTTTACAGGGGCCATTCCAATTACTCTTCTGACATTTGATTTTTTTTCACATGCTTTTAAAGTGTCCAAGTTTCAGTCTCCTTGGTTTACTTCAACTGCTGCAGATTAATTTCAAAGTGCAAAAGTAGTTTGCATTCCGAAAAACTACTGCAACTTCTCATAGCTTGTCTTGTTCTTCCACTATGTGGTATGCTTCCACTATGTTACCAATATATCTCTCAGAATTTTCAAGCCCTTCCAGGGCACTTCTAAAGTAACTTTCAGTGTTAAGTTATTTATTCCAATAGGGTTCACTCTGATCCAGAATAGAAATAAGGAAAGGAAAGGATAAAGGGGAGAGGAAGAGAAAGAAGGGAAAGCAGGGAGCAATGGCTCCTTCAACACCTGGGCAATGCTGGATATATACGAGGGTTGAATGAAAAATAATGCCTCCACCTTCATTACTTGGGTTTGGATGGGAATATTTTAATAAATCAAATGCAGAAATAATCCTTAGAATGTGCTCTTTAACTACCACTATTCACTTTTCCACATAATCACAAGACAATTGGATACATTTCTGCCAACAATGCACAAGTTTTCTGAAGCTGTCACGGAAGAAGTCGACACTTCTTCTGTCATGCATAGATCTTCCAATAGCCAAGCAAAGCAATAATGTGACCCACACGTTCTTGTAAAATGCCCATTATGCTTGAAATTTCTCTGAGTGATACGATAATCGTCCTGAATCAATCTGTCAAGCTTTTGCTTGTGAAACTTGGTGGTTGCTGTCGTAGGATGTCCAACTCTTTGTTTGTCACGCAAGTCAGATGTTCCCACTTCAACATCTGTAAACTTACTCGCCCAACGACGCACAGTACTCACATCAACATAATCACCACAAACAGCTTGCATTCCCTGATTAATCTCCTTTGGGGTGACACCTTCTGCTGTCAAGAATTCAATGACTGCATGTTGCTTAAGTTGAATTGACTGACCGTCTGTGCAGGATTCCATACGTCGCTCTTTAACAACACAAGCATTCAATGCTAAGGCTTCCTACCTAAATAGAACTGTAGAGAAAAGTCTACGGAACAAGCCAGTACCTGCCGCATACCAGTACTGCCATCTGTTGAGGAGTTACGAAGGTGGAGGCATTACTTTTCATTCAACCCTCGTATGCTAGTAAATTATATATTCATCTTAGCTGTCATTACTTTGCCTTGCTAACTGTAGTTGCCAAACACTGGATCACTGCAAACAAACAATACAATTTGGCCACTTAAGCTAAAGAATAATTTCAGGACTGGTATGCAATCCTTTGGTTGCCACTTTCCCTCACCATTCATACAAGCTGAGAAATTAGTTGCAAATCTATGTTAACCACACTTCCTTCTACCACTGAACTGGGACACAATGCACAATGTATTCAAGAAAAACGAGGCATTGAAAGCCAATCTTAAACCATGATGGCAAAAAAGGTTTTGTTTTGTGAGCCCCTGGTGGCGCAGCGGGTTAAACCACTGAGCTGCTGAATTTGCTGACTGAAAGGTTTTCAGTTCGAATCCGGAGAGCAAGGTGAGTTCCGCTCTTAGCCCCAGCTTCTGCCAACCTAGCAGTTAGAAAACATGCAAATGTGAGTAGATCAATAGGTACCGCTCCGGCAGGAAAGTAACGGCACTCCATGCAGTCATTCTGGACACATGAACTTGGAGGCGTCTATGGATAACGCCAGCTCTTTGGCTTAGAAATGGAGATGAACACCCTGAGTTGGACACAACAAGACTTAAATGTCAAGGGGAAACCTTTACCTTTACCTTTGTAGCCATGGTTTTCTACTAGATCCAAAAGCTAGCATGGTGTTCTCAATAGTTAAAAATTGCTACTGGGCGAAGTTAATTTGTTGAGTCTCAGATAGATCATTCACTGCAAAAATGTTTCAGAAATTAGAAAAGGGTGGATAACAAGATGAGTTTTTTTCCAAATAATTCTTAGCCAGGTTGGAAAGAAAAGGTAACTTGATCTTAGAAAATGTGGCGCTTGGGTACAGTTAGTGGGGGGAGAGGGCCTTATTAGTGGTGGCCCCCCAGCTCTGGAATGCCCTCCGTAGAGAGATTAGGTTAGCCCACTCTCTTCAAGCTTTCCTATCCAGTATTACTGTGTTTTATGAATTTGGATTTTTAATTTTATTATGCGATATTTTATGGATGTGTGCTCATGTTTTTATCACTTTGATGTCTACGTAATTGTGTTTATTTTATGTGTGGTACTTTGGAGTGCTTTGTTAGCCAGCCCTAGTCCCTTCGGGGAGAAGGTGGCGGGTACAAATAATTTTTTGTTATTGGGTTGTTGTATGTTTTTCGGGCTGTATGTCCATGTTTCAGAAGCATTCTCTCCTCACATTTCACCTGCATCTATGGCAGGCATCCTTGGAGGTTGTGAGGTCTGTTGAAAACTAGGAAAATGGGGTTTATATATTTCTGTGGCATGTCCAGGATGGGAGTAAGAACTCTTGACTGTTGGAGGTAGGTGTTAATGTTTCAATTGGCCACCTTGATTAGCATTTAATGGCCTAGCCGTTTCAAGGTGTGGCTTTTTACTGCCTGAGGGAAGAAGGAAGAAACCATGAAAATGAACAAAATCTGGCTACCAGTATTAAAAAACACTCTAAAATCATACTAGTGAATAAAGAACAACACTCAAAAACAGGGGAACTCCAGTCAAGAAACAATCAAAGACAGCTAATCACCTCTTAACAAAGGATTCCCCATTATTATTATTATTATTATTATTATTATTATTATTATTATTATTATTATTTATTGTTATGAGAATAGAATTTACTCTCCACTCCCCCCCCCCCATTCAAATTCTTCCTATGTACACTTATTTTGGTTTGTGAAGTCATAGAAAAAATATCCACTGTAATGGATGAAAATGGAAGCCAAGAAGCATGGACTGATTTTGTTCCAGTAACAATGAAGGAGAATCATTGAAGGACGAGAAAGCAAATGACATTGCTTGCTACGATTTCAGCTTCTCCTTCTGATCACATTTCGTTTATGTGACTTTCCTTCACAATATTCTAAAAGCCCTGAAGGTAAGCCCTTGACAATAAAAAACACTCATTAGACCCACATTCTGCCTTTAAAAATTATGGTCCTAATAAATGGCATTACAGATTATTTGAAAAGGAATTTGACAGCCTCTCATTAATACTATATTTGGACCAGACTGTTAGAAGATGTACTTGTCAAATCGTAGGACGCCCAGCTACAGGGTCACAAAACTCATGCAAGGTTAATGTGGAGCTGCTTCATACATTAGATTTATGAAGTATGAATTGCTTTTGCTGGCAATTTATATTTCTAAAAATTGCCTATGAAAGATAAAAATGCACTGCTATTACTGGGACATGTTCAAAATAATCAAATCATAGATAAAGACAATTTGGAATCCCTACCTTTACATATCAGTTAACTGATTTCCCTGCTCCTTGCAGTTTTGTTATCATATTAACATTTGCATTTCAAAATATAAATACAGGATCAAGGATAGCTAGTTTTATTTATTTATTTCTGACATTTATATGCCACCCTTCTCACCCTGAAGGGGACTCAGAGAAAGTTAGAAGACATATATACATACAATATATTGTATTATTAGCATAGTACAATATCGGTATTAAATATTACTATATTGTACTATACCATTATATTGTAATATTATTAGCAATACTACATGTAATATAAATATATCATTATAATATATCATTATTATTAGTATTATATTGCATTATATAATATTATAAATATTATAATGTAATGCAATATAATTTTAACATAACAGAGAAAAAATACAGGTATTTATGTAGTCCAGTGGTTCTCAACCTGGGGTCCCCAGATGTTTTTGGCCTTCAACTCCCAGAAATCCTAACAGCTGGTAAACAGGCTGGGATTTCTGGGAGTTGTAGGCCAAAAACATCTGGGGACCCCAGGTTGAGAACCACTGATGTAGTCAGTCTTTTAAATCCTTTCCACCCTAAGTATAGTGCTTTTGAGTTCCCATGTATTAAGTGTGTAAATATGGAACTGTAACAATGCCCCTGGCACAAATATTCCAGGTTTGCATGACTTGTCTTTCAAGAAAGCATGATTCAAGATAAACAGCTGTAGTTGTGGGTGGGTGGCACTGAAGGAAGCTAAAAATACATGTTGACATCTGTAGCAAAGAACCAAAAAGCAACAAACTTTTCACCCAAGAAATCTCTTAGCACCCATCCATTTCAGATTTAAATGATTTTAGAAACAAATCCTTAAAGGATAATGCTTCCCAAAACACAGCTTTGCAGCATCAGTTTTTGCTCTACTTGGTATCCAAGCCTTGTTTATACAGCAAGCAAGGACCTTTGTCTAAAACGTTCATACTTTTCGACTCTCTTTCCTAACAAATATTTATGACCTAGTATGGTGCTGTGAAATCCCCGGTGGCATAGTGGGTTAAACTGCTGAGCTGCTGAACTTGCTGTCTGAAAGGTCGGTGGTTCGAATCCGGGGAGCGGGGTGAGCTCCCACTGTTAGCCCCAGCTTCTGCCAACCTAGCAGTTCGAAAACATGAAAATGAGTATATCAATAGGTACTGCTTCAGCAGGAAGGTAGCAGCGCTCCATGCAGTCATGCTGGCCACATGACTTTGGATGTCTCTATGGACAATGCCGGCTCTTTGGCTTAGAAATAGAGATGAGCAGCAACCCCCAGAGTCGGATACAACTAGACTTAATGCCAGGGGAAACGTTTACCTTTACTATGGTGCCATCTT